CTGGCTGCTCTTTTGCTCTGCTCTTCCTGGCTGGTCTCCTTGTTTCTGGTCCAAGGGATCCCTCAGATTTTGGAATCCGCTTCTGGCTACAATTGTATCGGCTGCTTTTCTGAGCCTCTTGGCTGTTGTGCAGGGACGGGGCCTGTGTCCACGGTCATTGTCCTGGCCTGAGTCAGAGGCTGGGGTGGGGAGCTGGGATTTGGCGGGGGGTCGTTTAGATGCCCCCCTCCATTCCTGCTTTGAACAGCACCAAGACCTAAAACACGGAGGGATCTAAGTTCGTGGGGTGGGGGAGGGGTGGATGTTGCAATGCAAACCTTGTTGGAGGGACGGGACCCACTTTGCAGCTGGATCTCCGGGATCAGCCCCTCCCCCGCTCTCCTGATCCAGAAGGAAGACGGTAGAGGGGGAACCTTCTCCTCTCCCCCCTCAATTCTTTCCCTCCCCTCCCGGCACATCCTCCTCTCACCCCGCCCCCACAACCCCAATTCCCGCCCCCCATACGTTGCACCCCTTCCTCCTCCTCTTCCTCCTCCTCCTCCAATCCGGCTTCTGCTCCAGGAATGTGGGGGGTGAGCCCCCCTCCCAAGCTGGCTTCTTCTCCCGGAAGTGGAGCTTCCACTCCGGATTGCTGCTCTGCCCCGTAGCTCGGGGGGGGGCGCTTTCGGAAAGGGGAGGGAGGAGGCAGGGGACCCCCCCCGTGGATGTTGCAGAAAAGGAGAATCGGGAGCGAGGACAAAAAGGTAAAGGGGTCCGGGGGGGGGAGAGGGGAGAAGAGGACCCAGAGACCCCGCCAGCTCCCCCAAGCGCCTTCCGTGGGGCCTGGGCGAGGTGTCAGTCGCGCCGGGGTGCAGGGGAAACTGCGGGAGAGAGGGAGGGGGGGAGGAAGGGGAGCATCCCTGGGTCAGGGAAGGGCAGCACTGGGCGGGGGGAGGAAGACCAGTCTTTGGGGAGAAGTCTCCATCGTGGCGCCCGCTGGGAATATCTGGAGGGGCTGCCTTGGCTTCTCCCTCCCGCCCAGGAATCGACCCCCCCTTCAAGGCGACCACAGAGGGATCCCTGGAAAGTGGGGGTCCTGTCCACCCACCTCTTCCTTCCTGCAACCTCCATCCTCCTAACACCCCATAAGCCCCTGCCCTGTCCAGACACAGCCATTCTGCCCAGTCCAACCATTGATCCCCTGGAAAGGAGAGGAAATCCCTAGAGGAAGGGGGAGGGGGGAGGCCTTCTCAGAAGCGGCTCTTGGTTTCCGCAATCCCACCGAGGAAGCAGTCAGAAACCTTTTCCTCTCTCTCAGGCTTCCATCTTTATTGTCTTTTCCACTGAGGATGAGGATAATGTACACCTGTCATCAGAAACGGGTGCAGAGTCCATGGAATGGCTCTCAGGATTGATACAGAAGTTGCACCTCAAAAGCATTTCTGTTCCTCTTATTCTTTGTAGGCAATGTCAGAGTGACTGACAAGCTGAGATACAATCCTTCAGCATCCGATGACAGCGACTGCATGAATCTTCCCAGTCAAAGGACCCATTTTCATGATAGACAGTGCCTGTGGCTGGAGGCTCTATATACAAGGTGTGCCTGTGCAGGCCAAAGACTGCCAGTATCAGCACAGGTGAGGTGTGTGACCTTCCCAAATTTACAAACTGTATGTGAATGAGAGTTTGTGGGTGGGATTATAATTTATGGCAACCCTGTGATTTTCTCCACCCATAACTTTTCGTGAGCTGATATTTCAGTACGAATTTCAAATTAACTACAAAAAAAATCACAAGATGATAATAATAATAGTACAGTGGTACCTCGGGTTAAGAACTGAATTAGTTCTGCAGCTCCGTTCTTAATCTGAAACTGTTCTTAACCTGAAGTACCACTTTAGCTAATGGGGCCTCCTGCTGCCGCCGTGCGATTTCTGTTCTCATCCTGAAGCAAAGTTCTTAACCCAAGGTAATATTTCTGGGTTAGCAGAGTATGTAACCTGAAGCATCTGTAACCTGAGGTACCACTGTAGAAGTTATAGTATTAGTATTTCCCCCCAGCCTCTCTGGGCAGCTTACAGTACATATAGGTAAAGGTAAAGGGACCCTTGACCATTAGGTCCAGTTGTGGCCGACTCTGGGGTTGCAGCACTCATCTCGCTTCACTGGCCAAGGGAGCCGGCGTACAGCTTCCGGGTCATGTGGCCAGCATGACTAAGCCGCTTCTGGCGAAGCAGAGCAACGCACGGAAACGCCGTTTACCTTCCAGCCGGAGCAGTACCTATTTATCTACTCGCTCTTTGATGTGCTTTAGAACTGCTAGGTTGGCAGGAGCAGGGACCAAGCAGTGGGAGCTCACCCCATCACGGGGATTCGAATCACCAACCTTCTGATCAGGAAGTCCTAGGCTATGTGGTTTAACACACAACGACACCCAGCTGTCTTCTAAATGTCAGATGGTTGCCTGTTTCCTAGCCCTCTGAAGGGAGGGCATTCCACGGGGCAGGAGGCCTTCTGCCTGGTTCCCTGGAACTTCACTTCTAACAGCAAGGGAACCAGCAGAAGACCCTCGGAGGCGGACCTCCCTGTCTGGACTGAGCAATGGGGGTGAAGATGCTCCTTCACGTCCACAGGGCCGAGGCTGTTGAGGGCTTTACGGTGCAGATCTTGCTCCTCCATAATGATCGATGTATAGATAGCAGAGTAGGAAAAAACACTCAGAGGCAGAAAAAAAAAATTCAGCTGAGAAATTTATTACCGAAGACAGATAAGCATAACAGGCTGCAAAAAATAGCAAAAATGTAACTTACACTAAAACCCTGACTTAGCATATCAAAACAGCACTCAAGTAAGCAACAGCCAAGCAGAGTAGAGTGATATCAGAATAGGAAGTGGGAGCAGGCGCATTTCAATACTGTAATTCATATATAATTCAATGTGAGTAACCCTGGCACTAGATAACAAGCCTTCAAGTGGACGTGCCCCACCTGCCCTTCACATTCCTCTTCCACACGGGCAGAATCTGCCTTCTGGACTGTGGGATTCATGGTTGTTCTCCTCCTCTCCATCCACCAGGGCTTGACTTCAGGTGCAGCAGAATTCCCCAGCCCCCCAAGTATTTGACACCCATCAGCTTTCCTCACCTGGTTTAGCCGGCTGGTTGAAGCTGTTGCTTGAACACCTGTTGCATGCTGACAGCTTCTGGAAGCCACAGGTGAGAGCTGAGTGCAGGGTGGGCACCAAGGGTAGAAAAATGACCCCAGAAGGTGCAGGACATGACCACCACCAAAGGAACTACTACTTCCCAACACCCCATGACATCTAGATTCAGGTAGTTAGCCATGTTGGTGTGACACAGTTGAAATAAAAAATTAAAAAATAGTCCAGTAGCACCTATGATTGTTCTAGATTTAAGCTTCCGTGTGCATGCACACTTCTTCAGATACACTGAGACAGATGTCACCAGACCCTTGTATATCGTGGGAGTGTGTGGTGGGTTTTTTCCTCAGAAGTGTACTCCTACAACCATCTCCTACTACCCTTCACTATATGAAGAAGTGTGCATGCATACGAAAGCTTATACCTAGAACAAACTTAGTTGGTCCCTAAGTTGCTGTTGTTGTTTTTTAGTCGATTAGTCGTGTCCGCCTCTTCGTGACCCCCTGGACCAGAGCACGCCAGGCCCTCCTGTCTTCCACTGCCTCCCGCAGTTTGGTCAAACTCATGCTGGTAGCTTCGAGAACACTGTCCCACCATCTCGTCCTCTGTCATCCCCTTCTCCTTGCGCCTTCCAACTTTCCCAACATCAGGGTCTTTTCCAGGGGGTCTTCTCTTCTCTTGAGGTGGCCAAAGTATTGGAGTCTCAGCTTCAGGATCTGTCCTTCCAGTGAGCACTCAGGGCTGATTTCCTTAAGAATGGAGAGGTTTGATCTTCTTGCAGTCCATGGGACTTTCAAGAGTCTCCTCCAGCGCCAGAATTCAAAAGCATCAATTCTTTGGCGATCAGCCTTCTTTATGGTCCAGCTCTCACTTCCATACATCACTACTGGGAAAACCAGAGCTTTAACTATACGGACCTTTGTTGGCAAGGTGATGTCTCTACTTTTTAAGATGCTGTCTAGGTTTGTCATTACTTTTCTCCCAAGACCCTAAGTTGCTACTGGACTACTTTTGTTAATTTTTTTACTTCAACTGTGCCAGACCAATATGTCTACCTACCATTAAGTACAGTTATCTCCTTGCCTTGAATATCCTGCTTTTCAGTGCCAGATTAGGATAGTCCTGTGTCAGAAGACAAGCACAGGATAAGGCAGCACATCATTATTATAAAGAACCATTGGGGTGTGTGCTTCCGCATGGGATTCCCATGTGCCAGCTGCTTTCCTTCTGCTTCTCCTGCTCTCTCCATGCAATGTGAGGCATGTAGACGGAGGTCAATCTCCAAGAATAGGAGCCTCCCTGAGCACCCATTCAGCTGACCCCAAGCACCTAGCCTTGTCACTAGTTCTCTGACTGACCCAGACCACAGTCCCTGGAAGAGATGAAGGCCTGGGTCTCCCAAAATAGTCCATATCAACCTGCTGAGGTCAGCAGGACTGTACAGGTGATTCATGAAGAACTAGAGGTGGAAACGGGGGCAAACACTTGATCTGAAAGGCAGTCTCAGAGGACAACAGTATTCCAAGATCATGCTGTGTTATTAAAGATGATTGAGGATTATGAAAGTTTGCTAATGCATTACTACCATTAGACATCATACCATTTTCATTTCCTAAAAATTGGGAACATGGGTAGGACATGGGAGAATGTAGGAGATGTTGAAATAAGAGAAGGTACTAATGGTGGTTGATGTGTCCTTTTTCCTCCTGTGTTTTCTTTCCTGAAACCCCATCAGGATTTGCTTTTTGCCCACTCTGAAAAAGGTGATGGAGAAGACAGAATTGCAGGGGATAGGACACCTTTCATTTAATTAGGAATAGCCATTAAAATGTGTGAAATGTGGAATATGCTTCACTGAATGAGCAAACATAGTTCACATCAACGAACACAAAAAAGAAAGAACCCATTTACAAGTATGGAGTGCAGAAAGACTTAGAACACTCGAGGAGACTCACACAGAGAGAAAATGTTTTAACTGCAGGGAGTGTGGGAAGAACTTCAGTCAGAGTGGAAACCTCAATACACATCAGCGGACTCACACAGGGGAGAAACCATATGAATGTATGGAGTGTGGAAAGAGCATCAGTCAGAGTGGAGAGGTTAGATCACATCAACGGACTCACACAGGGGAGAAACCATTTACATGTGTGGAGTGTGGAAAGAGCTTCAGTCATAGTGGAGACCTTAGAAATCATCAACGGACTCACACAGGGGAGAAACCATATGAATGTATGGAGTGTGGAAAGAGCTTTAATGAAAGTGGAAGGCTTAGAAGACATCAACGGACTCACACTGGGGAGAAACCATTTAAATGCATGGAGTGTGGAAAAAGCTTCAGTCAGAGTGCAAACCTTAGAAATCATCAACTGATTCACACAGGGGAGAAACCATTTACATGTGTGGAGTGTGGAAAGAGCTTCAGTTATAGTGGAAAACTTAGAAGACATCAACGGACTCACACAGGGGAGAAACCATTTAAATGCATGGAGTGTGGAAAGAGCTTCAGTCAGAATGGAGACCTTAAAATACATCAACGAATTCACACAGGGGAGAAACCATTTAAATGCATGGAGTGTGGAAAGAGCTTCAGTTATAGTGGAAACCTTAGAAGTCATCAACGGATTCACACAGGGGAGAAACCATATGAATGTATGGAGTGTGGAAAGAGCTTCAGTAAGAGTGCACATCTTAGAAATCATCAACGGATTCACACAGGGGAGAAACCATATGAATGTATGGAGTGTGGAAAGAGCTTCAGTCAGAGTGGAGAGGTTAGATCACATCAACGGACTCACACAGGGGAGAAACCATTTACATGTGTGGAGTGTGGAAAGAGCTTCAGTTATAGTGGAAACTTTAGAAGACATCAACGGACTCACACAGGGGAGAAACCATTTAAATGCATGGAGTGTGGAAAGAGCTTCAGTCATAGTGGAGACCTTAGAAATCATCAACGGATTCACACAGGGGAGAAACCATATGAATGTATGGAGTGTGGAAAGAGCTTTAATGAAAGTGGAAGGCTTAGAAGACATCAACGGACTCACACAGGGGAGAAACCATTTAAATGCATGGAGTGTGGAAAGAGCTTCAGTCAGAGTGCACAGCTTAGAAATCATCAACGGATTCACACAGGGGAGAAAGCATATGAATGTATGGAGTGTGGAAAGAGCTTCAGTCAGAGTGGAGAGGTTAGATCACATCAACGGACTCACACAGGGGAGAAACCATTTACGTGTGTGGAGTGTGGAAAGAGCTTCAGTTATAGTGGAAACTTTAGAAGACATCAACGGACTCACACAGGGGAGAAAGCATTTAAATGCATGGAGTGTGGAAAAAGCTTCAGTCAGAGTGCACACCTTAGAAATCATCAACTGATTCACACAGGGGAGAAACCATTTAGGTGTGTGGAGTGTGGAAAGAGCTTCAGTTATAGTGGAAACCTTAGAAGACATCAACGGACTCACACAGGGGAGAAACCATTTAAATGCATGGAGTGTGGAAAGAGCTTCAGTCATAGTGGAGACCTTAGATCACATCAACGGACTCATACAGAGGAGAAACCATTTCAATGTATGGATTGTGGAAAGAGCTTCAGTAAGAGTGGACACCTTAGAAGACATCAACAGACTCACACAGGGGTGAAACCATATAATTGTATGGAATGTGGAAAAAGCTTCAGTCAGAATGCAGACCTTAAAATACATCAACGAATTCACACAAGGGAGAAACCATTTAAATGCATGGAGTGTGGAAAGAGCTTCAGTCAGAGTGGAGACCTTAAAAATGATCAACGGACTCACACAGGGGAGAAACCATTTAAATGTATCGAGTGTGGAAAGAGCTTCAGTCAGAGTGGAAATCTTAGAAAACATCAGCAGACACACAGGGGAGAAAGTATTTAAAGGTATGGACTGTGGAAGGAGCTTCAGTCAGAGAGGAACCCTTGATTTTTGTCAACAAACTCACACAAAAGACAAACCATATAAATATCAGGGAAGTAGAAAGAGGTTCACTCTTAGTGGAAGTTCAGACAGACTTATGGACAGGAAGAACTTTAAGAGTTGAAATTCTTCAAACCTCCAACAAACTCAGAGAGGAGAAGCAGTTTAAATGAAAAGATTGCAAAAAGTGCTTTATTTATAATAGAGTGATCAAGGAACACCCCAGGACTCTCACATGGGAGAACCTATTTAGATGTATGGAGTGTGGGATGTCTTCCTCTCAGAGTCCACTCTGAGCAATGAACTCAGCAGGAAATCATTCCTAAAAGCATGAGGTATGTGTGAAGTTCTGGTGTTTATATGTAAAACTGTCTAATAATGAAATAATGAAGGGAACATCTCACAATAGCGAGTATAATTTTAGATGTAAAGTACCATTGGTTTTTGCACCAAACTCTGTCACACACACCCCACCGCATGATCTCCCAGCACTGCTTCTTCACCAGAACTTCATCGCTGCCTCCTGCCCTGCGCGTTCTGAAGAAAACTTGGAATACTGAAATTGAATGGGATATTTCCCCCGAAGCCTAATTTCAAGAGAGAGAAGGAGGGGTGCAGGTACTAGGGAAGTCTCCTGGGGGGCCCACGTTCACTCATGTACCCTGGGACAATTTACTGCCATCAGCAATCTTTGCCCCCTCCCTGCTCCCCCCTAAGTCTAGATCATTTATGAACAAGTTGAAAAGCCACAGGTCCCAATACTGATCTTGACGGGACTCCGCTTTCTGCTCCTCTCCATTCAGAGAACTGTCTATTTACTCTCTTGGTTTTTCAGAAGGAGGGCTGCCTTCCTGGTGGTGGGATGGCGAAGAGCAGAAAGAGGGAGAAAAGGGAGCAGAAAGGGAGGGGAGATATTGCAAGCTGAGGAGGAAACAGGGTTTCGTGAGCAGGAAGAGTTTGGGGCAGAGAGCAATTCAGGCTCAGAGGGAGGAGAGGAGGGGGCCAGGAGACCCAGAGGAGGCCGGCTGCTGAAGCATCCAGGGAAACCCCCCCTCCTGCTGCGACCAGCATATGCCTCTGAGTGTGGCAGTTATAACTCTTAGAATGTGGGGATCCCATTTTTCAACCAAAGCCAAAACCCGCTAGCCTTTTCCCAGGTCTTTCCTTACCTGACAGTCGTTCGTCTTCTCTACAAAGGATGCTACAAAGTCCCTCTCCCTCCCTTTATTTACCATGGGGTCCCAGCAACCTTTTCTGCCTCTTACACGCTAGGAAAAAGAGTCCCTTTCCATTGGACGCCTGGCAGCCCAGTGCCAAATCCGGCTGCTCCAGAGAGAACGGAAAGGAGCTGGAAACGCCCTTGCGCTCTGACGTGCACCAGTCACTTCCTCCCCGATCTTGGTGTTGCCGGTGCAGCTGCATTTACGAGAAAAAGAGAAATTGGAAACCGAGCCCAAGTCCCTTGCTATCCAAAGTGGCCACTTGGACCAGCCTTGGGCGTCTTCCTTGGGAAAAAGGTAAAGTTTCAGATCTCAGGTTCCCCAACAGGGAATGAGAGCTTTGATTGGCATTCTCCCCTTGCAGTTAATTGCCTCTCTAATTGCAGAACCCCAATTCTCCCCTTCTCCCCTCCCCCTCCTTGCCACCTCTTGCCAGGAAGGCTGGGAGTGAAGACCGTAAGCAAAAGAGACAGCAAAGGATGAGAATCTGGGTTGTGGGTGTTTCAGAGAATCCCGCCCACAATCTTCTCCATTCCTAGACTCACGTCCGCATGCGCTGCTCCTGGCCACCCCGGGGTCTTTTACTAGATTAATTCATGGCCGGCCTGGGGCTGAAAATAAACTACCAAAAAACTAAATTACTGACAAAAAACTTCACAATGGAGGGCGGGGGGAGAGAACATCAAGAAAAAACAGGCCTGGAAAATAAATATAAGGTTAAATACCTAGGGATTTGGATTTCAAATAAAAGTTTAAATGTATATGAGGGTGATTCTAGTAAAGTATGGAAAGAATTTTTTTTAAAAAATATATGGAAACCTGGACCAAACTCCATCTCTCTCTCTGGGGAAGAGTCTCGGTTGTGAAAATGAATATCCTCCCCAAAATGATTTTCTTATTCCAAACAATGCCCATTTTAGGAGAAATGAATTATTTTAAGGAGTGGAAAAGGGAAATATCTAGATTTATATGGAGTGGAAAGAAACCGAGAATTAAACACCAGTTTAATTCTTAGACTTGGAAGACCACGAGAATCGGTCTGGATGGCACGCTTCTTTAATATACGAAAAAGTGAAGGTCCACAGGGGATTTTTGAGCCATGTGAAATAAAATCTGGAATAAATATAAAGGACTACTTGAGCCAAAAATACCCTTGTGGACATCACCAAGAGAAGCCATATACTCATGTTAGAATATTTACAACTAGCAAAACTGATGGGAAGAGTTAGTGTTGTATTGAACCAGAAAATATTTGGAGAATGGAGAATATTTGAGGATTATAGAAGATCATATTGTACCAACCACACCATATTAGCAGAACTTGAGTGATACTTGTAAACACAACAAATGCTGTTTGTTAAGTAGACTGGAACAATATTAACAATACTGATCCCAATACTGATCTTGACGGGACTCCGCTTTCTGCTCCTTTCCACTCAGAGAACTGTCCCTTTACTCTCTTGGTGCTTCAGGAGGAGGGCTGCCTCCAACAGAGGGGGCACATTTCTTCTAGGGGCACCTTTCCAGGGTCCCCACAGTGCCTCCCAGCCTGGCTCCACTCGGCCAGGGCAGCTGCATTTTGTTTCGCTGCAGGTGACCCTCCCCCCTGCAACGTGGGGTCTTAAAGGAACTTCATGGGGGGGATCAGCGAGAAGGAGCTTCTGGATCCTATGCAGTCCCCCCTGCCTGCTCCCTTCAGGTTTCCTAAGCCCCTCCCTTTTTCACTTCAAGTATTGTGAGTCCCGCACAGCCCTCAGGGCACCTAAGCATTGGGGGGCGGAGCTATTTTGTTTGCTGAGGGCAGGAGTCACAATCCTGGCACACTGCAGGATGTCTGGGTTTTAGGTATGGGGGTGAAAAAAGTGGGGGGTGGAAAAGAGGTGATAGGGGAAATATCCTGGGGTGTGGATTTTATTTTATTTTTAATCATTTTTATTGATTTTCCAAAAAAACTTGAGTGTTCACTGGAAGGACAGATCCTGAAGCTGAGGCTCCAAGACTTTGGCCACCTCACGAGAAGAAAAGACTCCCTGGAAAAGACCCTGATGTTGGGAAAGATGGAGGGCACAAGGAGAAGGGGACGACAGAGGATGAGATGGTGGGACAGGGTTCTCGAAGACTTCCGGGTTTGTGCCTCCGGTAATGGCAGAATTCCTCTGATCGGGATGTTACGGTAAAATCTGGATGTGAGGCTGCTCTGCCACCCAGCTCGTCGGACTAAGTCCGCGGGTCCCTGTAGAGGAAAATGAGCTCAGCCGGAGACACGAGCAAGCTGCAGAAGATCCACGTTTATTGCGCAACAGGTTCAAGGCGAGATTGAACCGCGAGAAAGGGGTGAAATAAACTTTTGAAACTTCTCTCCATGCCCCAGAATACAGTGAAAAACACATCCCAGTTACATCATGAATACATTAAGAAGAGGTTGGGTTATACAGGATTAACATATGGAGGAGGGAGGGGGAATATGCAGAGCTGGAGATATGCGCAGATAAGCACATCCTGAGTACCGGTGATGAGAAGACAATAGTCCATGTACTGGCATTTCCTGGAGGAAAGGCTTGGCAGAGTGATTTGACAGGATTAGGGTCTTGACACCTTGCTTGAGGAATTATGGAGGACAGGGGAGGTGTGATGGAGTCCTAGAGGAATTGAGCAAATTGGCACATTGATTTTCTATGAATTTTATAGATTTTAGTCCCTTTTGACATTGACAATTGGAAATAAATTGATATATTGTAGCGAAGAAGAAGGTGAAGAAGACATGCCCCCCCTTCCGTATCAGTCCCCCATTCGGAGATAGATTTGCATTAAAGTTCTGTAAGAACTTGCAAATCTTTTCTCCGCACCCTAAATCTCGGCGAAGGTAGGGGTGCCCTGTGAGTGGGAATAGGCTCTAATGGAAAAGGAGGTGGGTTGAGCAGGGCAGCAAAGGAGGGAGCAACACGGACCAATACAATGTACGTGTATGTTATATAGATATGCACTAAATAATAACTTGGTATCCACCGTACCAGATGTGTGGGTTTGTGCAAACCTGAAGGGGACTTGCAAGCCATGCCTCTTAAGGTCATTTGCAAGTATAGTACTGCAGATAGCTGGGTATAGGATATCACATAAAAGAACACCTGTTGTATTTTGTTCAATAGTGGTCTATGCTTTACATTTAGCAGGAAGGTCCACTACTGACTGGAAAAAAATGCAGTTTGGTTTTTTTAGCTCCACCGTTTTTGTGTTCTCAGGTGCGAAGGTAGCTCTTCTGTGGTCTCACACCGACATGGTGTCACAGTAGTGGCAATCCCTGGTGAATCCACTTAGGGCTTTCATATTAACCATGTTGCCTGGCACTCACCACAGCTGGCACAGGTTTGGACACGTCATGAGAGAAATGTCTTTGCCTTGGCCATTCTATGGGATTTTATTATTATAGGCTCTGGTCTTGCAGTCATGGGAAATTGCTCACTTGCACTTTGAGGACCAAAAGCTAATTGCAGCCTGGATACACTTGCCCAATTCAAACAGAGTCCAATTTGAATTTATCTTGCCCCATGGTTCTCAGCTTTTCAAACCAATCTGTTAAAGCAAAACCATTCTTAAGGGGGACTTGTCCAAATAAGTCAATTTAACTCTATAAGAGATTATTCCTGCTAAACCAAAGCGTATACACCTTCCTGAGGCTTCTCCTTGGTAAAGTGAGTTTTAGCACATTTTAAAATGGGTAGGGAAGTTGGCAGAGTGCCAGGTGAAACAACGAAATGTGGTTATAAATTTATCTAATTCTAAACATTGGACTACATAATAGCCTGGTCTGTTAAAAAGCATAAAATGTATGAGAATCCTCCACTGGGGTGTAAGGAATAAGACATTAAACATAAAAACAATTACACACAAAAATAGCCACAAAAATAGCCCCCCCCCCATTTGTGGAAATAACACACTGTCAGACACATTTCAACATTCCTACGTAATAACATAATACAAAACAAACTAAGTAAGTATCAGTTGCATATCTTGAGACAATTGTGATATTTTGACGCATGTATCTTCTCAATGCCGGAGCACAGTCTTGAGGTTCAAAAGTGAGAAAATTTCCTTGCAATTCAACTCCTCCCCCCCTTTGTCAGCCCCACTCCCCCGGCAGTCTATATCCTTTGAAAGAGATAACTGTGGCCACTTTGAAAACTTTGGTGTCTGTTGTTGTTGTTGCAGGTCTTGTGGTGGCGAAGCTTTTCGTTGGATCTGTAGTAACACATTTGTAGAAGTGATATCCTGTAAAGGGCAGGGTTTGGGGGACTTAAAAGACAGAGTTAGAAAAGGGAAGGGGCGAAAGGCAAAAAGGACGTCCTTCAGTTTCCGTGGGAAGCTGCAAATAATAAAAATCTTAGCGGATTAAGCATTTTATTCATTTCAATATTATTATCACATTTCCATATAATTACTGTTATTATCTGCTAAGTTTGTTTGCTTTCCTTCACTTTGGTTTTTTTCTTCTCCCTTCCATATTATTAAATAAAAAATTACTCATATGTAGAGAAAGAGAACTGTAAAAAATACAAGGTTAAAATAATAATAACACACACACACACACACACACACACACACACACAATGACCTATGAGGAACCAAAAATAAATAAATGCTAAGACACACAATTTTAAGAAACCTGAAGTAACAATGAAAATAAAAGAGTGTTTCTTGATGTGACAATATCGGCTAGGATGTTAATAGCAAAATACTGAGAAATGACTTAATACCAAGAAAAAATGAATGGCAATTTAAAGTTGTGCAAGTACCTTGAACTAGCCAAAATGACAGAATTAATAAGAAATGCTCAGGCAAAAGGTAAACAAATACCATTCCACAAACAATGTTTGGTTGTGCTTCGATTAATTTCATAGACATCATGGAAAAATGGATTAAATAAATGAAAAGAGATTATTTGTAACTTAAAAGTGTCAAAGCCACAAAGAGATGGAAGTCACTAATATAGCAGGGATTCAGACTTGTTTCACAGAACAGAACAGAAAGTTGCTGTGGGAGAAAAGAAGGGACAAACACTTTGTTATCGGGGTTCACATATCCTATTAAAAGGGAAAATTATTTCATGTGAGAAGCCTGTCAGGAAATGCTGTTCCTAAAATGCACACAAACAAAGTCTGTGATTTAAATCCCATTGGGGGGGGGGAATGCTTTGATATTTACCTGTGAAAAGAATTTGGCATGTTAAGATTTGAAACTTGGCAACCTCTTGACTTTGGTGGTCCAGTACTTAACCCTTTTGTCTTATGTAGCCCCTGGAG